TCTCTAATTTAGTGACTAACTTCGTACTCTTTGTGTTAGGTAATTTAGACTGTTAAGTTATAAATAAAGCGAATGTTTCTCTTTGTATTATACGAGATTCGTTTTGGTTCAGATTCCTTATTGAAGGTTCGACTCCTATTAGCTTCATTATTTCTTTGGACTAATTCCATAAGGAATTGTCTAAGGTTGTTGACAGTCCAAGTTTTTTTCTATCTTGTTGATAAACCTTATCTAGGACCCATGATGGTAACCCGCTTTCAATAATTATTTTAAGACACGAATGTTCCAAATTCTCACCTATCGCTTCTAATTGTCGCAGGATTCTTTCCATTGCTTCTGTATTTGATTTTCAATCCTTATCATTTCGTTTGATAGCATAAAACTCGTTATACAATGATGTTTCCACAATGATAGGTTTACCAAACTTTTCGATTAAGACCTCTCTTATGAGTTCATAGTTTTCGGGCACTATGTCATATCCTCTTACCGACTGTAAGGCTTCTCCTCTCAAGCATGACATCAGACAAGTCAATTTTTGAATATTGGGAATTTCTTTGAAGTGTATGGCAGCGTTAAAACTGTTCCAGAATTCCTTCCATAATTTTGGATCACCATTATAGGTTGGTAATGGCAACTGTGGTAAATTTATTGTTGAGTGGTTTTTACCACTAGGTGAGTGTGGAGGTGCTTTGATTTCTGTTGGATTTAGACGTTGAATTGCACATTCGAAATCCTCATAATATGAGGTTAATTTTATGATTGCTTCTTTATTTCTATTAATCAAATTTAAAACACTTTGTTTATCGTTGACCATTTTTTTTCATATTTTTCTTCTTTTTTTTTCTTTGTTGTCGTTGTGGTTTGTATGATATCCAACCATTTTTGATTGATTGCTTCCAGTGTACTGATGTACAATTCAAATCGCTTTATTTGATCCTTGATGATTCGTTTCTTGATTTCATATTAGCTGTTATAGCTGTTCTTCTCATGGTAGATTTTGATCTGGCGATTTTACATCCAGTCCTTTGATGTCCTCGAGAAGTTTGTTGATGCTTTCAATTGTTGGTTGTGCTGATTTGTTTAAGGAAGTCGACATTCTGACCTCATCTCGGAACCAAAAAATTGTTGTAGAATTTGGTTTGGATTGATTTGGTTTGAGATTAGTTTGATTCGAATTGATTTGGTCTAGCTTGAATCATTGACTGCTATACTGATTACAAGTAATGATTCATTAGAGAATTTCATAAGTATCAAAGAGATTTATTTAGAGACTAATTTCGAGAATTTTTTATGAAGAATTGTGAAGCTGGAATAAGATGAAAGGATTTAATGAAGTTACAAAAATAAGATGTGAGGCACGATATGCTAATGAATCATAATATTTAGACATATTTCTTTAACCAAACATATAAGTTACAATTTAAATTTTGATGTTTAGCCATTTTCGCGATGACTTTCGCGACACGAATGTCATTCACAGTTATTGCCCACCAATATTTCCCGCCATCACATGTTCTCCGTCTTTCTTTTTATGTATAACAACGAATGCGGCTAGCGAATAACCAAACAATCTCCTCTTTCCCATCGCTTCTTTCCTTCTCCTCCTCACATCACATTGCCCAACTATTCTCTCGTAAGATCTACTATTGATTTATCTCATGTATATCTGCGTGATCTTTTGTGACATCTCTATTGATCTCTTATACAACTAAATGATTGTCGTTGCACCGCCTAATATTGGGTATATATACATGGTCACGGATATATAGTTATCGAGTGAGATTCTCTCTAATCGGGTACTTCTTGCTCGACTCGAGACTAAGTCCTTGCCAAGCAAATCGGGAATCAGATTATTAATTTCTTTATGTCACTTTTTCCATTCTTCCTTCGAATAACCTTTTCAATTGTAATTGTTGTGAAATAGTAATCTGCTCTTACGAAACAAAAAAAATTTTCAGGACAATTACATAATTTCTAAATTTTGAATTTATAGTTTCGCATTACAGTGGAACACATCAGGGTTTATATGAGGAGAAAACGAATTTTTGAAATATCCTAAAGTAACTTTTAGAGAGAATATTATATTATTAGTGTTAAAGAGAGAATATTTCTCTAATCTTTAGTTTACAATCTAATTACATTAATTGAAATATCTTGAGAAAAAAATAATAATATTCTCTAAATATTTCTTTAAAAAGATGATAACTGATATGATCAATAGATTCTCGTATTGCATGTCGTGCAGCTATACGACTATTAACACTGTTAGCCAATG